TCAACCAAATCCTTGAGGGGGAAAAACAAAACAAAACAGAACACCGGAAATAAAAGTGAGACAGCAAATGACCAGAAATAACACAAGTATGGAACCAGCCCTCCTGGACTCCCTAATAGTCATTTACCTGCTGTATGACCCTGAGCATGGTAAAATTCTACAATTCTACTTCTTCAACTTTCAAACTGGAGTCCTAAGAATACCTTTCTCAGAGAGGTGGTTGTGAGGATTAAAGTGAAGTGTCATTTAAAGCACTTAGAATAGTGCCTGGCAAATAATAATTTCTATGCAATTGTAATTTCTATACTATATTACTACTACTGCTACTGCTATTATTTGCCAGTGGTTTTGGCTTACTCAGATTTGGAAATGTATGATACAGAAACTTTTTTCTTTCCTGGTCTCCACGATCTACCTCTCATTGATAGGTTGGTTTGACTAAGGTGTGCTCAGACATCTCCCAGCTATGTCCATTTCCCCTCAGATGACACATTTGAGAAGGAGGAACTGTTTATTTGGGCACTCGGAGCCAAATAGCAAGGGTGAGACTACACGTATGTTATCTTGGCATTAGGTCACTTTATTGCTTTCAATAGAAGGATCATATACCTTATATGATGCTCCGTGTAAGAAAGCTTCATCCTGAATTTTCAGCCAGGAAACAAAGCCATGTTCAAAAGTATATACTAAATGTTTAAAAGGTATAGGGTAAAAGGAACAAGTAATAGACCTTAGGATGGACGAGATAATTCCATGTAATTGCATTATACCATAATTGCTCTATTGTGCTACCTGCAGGTATTTTTAATGACCTTTTCACACATGATGTAATTTTGCTTGCATTTTTACAGCACTGTCAGGATGTGATTCCCTAAGTCCAGGTGAGTGGACCTGATATAACACCCAAGTGCTTAAATAGTTGTCACTAGCATTCTAAAAAGTGGAGGGTTAGTTCTACGCCATGTTATAAGAAAATATGAGGTTATCCATACATCTACATGAGACAGAGAGAGAAATGAGTAATAGAATCAGTTCATGATATGCATATAAGATACTGAGAGTTATTCAAAAAGAGAAGACTAAAAATCAAAGCTGGAAGCCAAAATTAAGTGGGATCCATCGTGAGTAGCCAAAATGCTGAAGGAAAAGAAAAATCCAAACCTGGAGTAAAGTCAGACTGACGACCAAAAAGGCAATAAAATGTCACACAGAGAAACAGGAGGAATAGGGCCCTGGGAACTAAAATAAAAATTTACTGAGCAGTTTATCGCTGTATTAATTGACTGTCCCTGGCCGAGCTGCAAAGCAGTGAGGGGTTTTGTAAAGGCATATTGTGGGACTGACAAAAGCTTCTATCACAGCAAGCCTCCTTCCAACCTGGATGTGTTATGATATACTGGCAAGGACCTAGGGCTCCTGGGACCTGCCACGTACATGTCCACTCATAAGTGAGCTGGACTAAGCCAACAGAACCTGTCCAGCTACCCATACCATGTAGTCCAAAAAGCCTGCATGATTCCTCAGGAAAGGTTTAAATCATTTCCAACAAGGGCACTGAGGGTAATAGAGAAAAATGCATTAAATACAAATGACTTTTTTTTTAATTCCATGTTTAGAAAATTATATGGCAACATTCAGAATTTATTCGGGGGCATTTTCTTGACCTCCTCTTAATAGACAGGAACTGAAGATACAAAGATGAAGCAGATAAGATCCAGGTCGCAGAGGACTTAGAGTGTGTGTTGTTGAGGGGGTGAGGTGGGACAGAGGCAGGTGAATCAGAAAGGATTATTAAATGTTACAGGTCCTTTCTAAAAGTATGTCAATGGTAAAATAGGGACATAAAAGAGAGAGTGATCAATTCTGTATGGGTAGGGGGATCATAAAGTCTTGAGATAAAAGGTGACCCTTTAGAAAATAAATGCAGCAAATCAGAATACGAATGCCTACTATATATTTTTAAATTATAGACATGTAATTTATTCTTTGTTATAAAAATGACATCTATTTAGAAATAGATGGGCTAAAAATAAATTTTTTAAACTCTTCTCACCTCTTTGGCAACTGACTGTCATTTACTTGTCATGCTAGGAATCTACAATCAAATATATAACTTGCAACAGACTTAGTACATGAGACCAATTAAGATAAAAGTTTTCTCTTCTGCATTCTATGTGGCCTATTCATGAACTGGGTACACAGATATCAGTCTAAATATCATATATCACTTAGATTTTTGATAGTTATTGGTCACTCTTAGATACTCTTCCTCCTGGACACTTATAGCTAGTCATGTTTCTATCACTTTTAGGGTATTATTTTGGAGAAGCTTACTTGGTAGCTATGAACTGAAAAGGCAGATTGTAGATAAGAGAAGTAAACTTGGTGTCAAGTTGGATTGTAATCACTAGGTGCAGACAACATACATCTCTAAGGATCCCACATGGGTCACTTCAGACACCCTCTGCAGCACAGAACCAAATTTCAAAGCACCATTTGCAAAAGTCTACTTATAAAAAATCAGTCAAAGTCCAGCTACAAATATATTCTGTTCTTGTCACTGCGATGAACCACTGTTAAAATTTCATCTTTGTTAAGCAGTCACTTTGGCCTCCATGTGAGGTGCCAATCGTTCATCTTAGGACCATGAAGTATATAGTTTATTACCAACATTAATTCATCTAAACCTCTGACAGAAGACTGTGAATTTCTTTGTTAAGGAAGTGTTTCTAATATAAATTTTTCATATGCAATATAATATATTTCATATATTTTTTATATATTGCATCAAGTCTCACAAAAATTCCCAAGTGGATCAGTCCAACTTTAAGGTAAGACTCAAGTCTTTTTTCTTTCCTTCACTTCTTGTGTGAACACGTTATTCCTCCCCCCTATTTTCCTTTCCTAGGATGCTTCAAGAAAATATGGTCACAATGTTTCAACAGAAGTACTGCAAGGGAGAGGGTTGAAAGACCATGGTGCTATACAAGGTGGACTGTGGTAGGGAGAAGACACCTTGCAAGCATGTCAAAAATTAGGCAAAAAGCATTGCTTAAATTTTTTTCCAATGGGAAGGTGTACTAGAAAGAACTACTTTGAGAAGCAGGATGTACATGTGACATAATCAGATGGTAGATCAGAGACTGGTTTATTTCCTGGAAGCCAGTTATTTTCAGATGAGAATGGTAAAATGCCATATGCTGGCTAACATTCAGGGACATGAACGGGGGTGGAGAGAAGTGTAGCCATAGTTTGGTTAACAAACATGTTTTTCCAATTGATCAGTGGGGACAGGAGTTCAGTTAATCATTTGTGAAATAAAGAATGGAATGGGAGGAGGACTGTCTGACTTGTTCAAAGGTAAACAAGTGGGCAGAATCCATGTGTTTCTGTGCCTCTCTTTCTAATGGGTAAGGGTGGATGGTTTTTGCAGTAAACTGTTCCTGAAGACAAAGGGTGATGGGGGGTGTGAACGTTTGTTGTTCTCCAGAATTACAGGACTCAGGTAAAGGCTAGCTTTGTCTAGTGGCATTAATCAAAGACGGGTTGACTTGTCAGGAAATACAACTTTTAGTATGAAGGTGGAATAAGTCATCACTGCCTTCCAAATGACATACACACACACACACACACACACACACACATACACCTTTGTGTGTGAGTGTGTGTATACCTTAGTCAAAGTAAAAGGAATCTGAATGATTGAGTCTGATCAGAATTTAACATAAAGATCTGGGACTAGATAATAAGCCCTCCACCTGTGACTCCATCTACCCTAGTGATAGAATAAGACACTTAAGTCTTCAGTAATGTCTTTAGATTACTTTAGTCATTTATTCCTTTAGTTATATATTTCAATTTATTCCTTTATTCCTAAAGTAACTGCTTTAGGTTCTCAGTCATTTAATCTTTTTCACTGTAGAGACATATCTGCCATGAGGTAAGAAGATAAGAAATAGCTACCAGTGTCTTAGGCTCAGAGATTAAGTCTTTGAGCATAGCAATCCAGAATCTGCTAAGTTCCTAGACTCAAGAATTTCCATTAAAAGAGGAAAACCTAATTATGGTCATTGTCTGCTTTTGGCTTAGGAGGAGTAGCAGAAAGATCTCCTTCTTCTTTTTTCCTCCTTAAACTATATATGACTAGAGAGGTAGAGGGAAAGTGGCTGGAGACCAGACCTGGGACTAGGGTTCCAGCATATTTCACACCTGTAGAGAAAAGTACCCTTCCAAAAGCAGTGTGGACAGTCAAAGTCATGTTCATTTATCTATCACCATTCAACACAGGATTTTCAGGAGATATTTTATTGCCTCACCAAAAAATAAACTCCATTACTAACAGAAAAACTAAGAGATTAATGAAAGGGAATGCTTTGAAGAACATTAATTTCTCCACATGCAACAGTTTATAACTTAAGCTGTTACCATATTATGACATTGTGAACAAAAGAAATAATACTCTCGTTATATTCATTCCCACATATGTGCAGAAAAGAAGTAAGCCTCCTAATCACAAAAGTCAGCCTTCTATTAGGAAATAGCACATAAAAATCACCATAGAAAGCAATAGAAATAAAACTTCTAAGCTGGAAACAGATTTCATTGCTGTTAAATCATATGAATAATTTCTAATTGATTTGCATTGGTCAGGAATCTTATACTGTAGAACCATGTTCCTCTATTTATCACAATATTCCATATGACACATGGAAACGAATACATTGCTTCATTAATATTTACGGTCTTTCTCTAGTTATGGCTTAGAGATATTTAACATTCTAAAACATAAGCATTGATAATTACATGTTTTACATTTTACTCTAATTTTTAATACTGCCAAGATTATTTAGTATAACTAACTTTTAAATTATGTACTCTTTTCTCTCTTTACCATTAGCATATCAATCAAATTTGCATTATTCTGGTTTGCTCATTTTATTAAAAGTGAATTCAGGGCACAATTGACTTTTCATTTGTTTAACAAGTGAAGAAATATTTACCCTGACAGCCATTGCATTGTAGAGATTCATCTTCATAGTATAATACGCTAACTGTGAATCAAGAAAAAAAAAAAAAGATGGCATATATTTCAGTTACACAAAGACAGTGCAGCCTACTTTTACATATAAAAGATAAGAATCTTTATACATAATACATAATAAGAATTGGAGGCTTAGAAAAATGAAATCAAACTTTGTATTGAAGAGATAGGCTTCCTAATACATAATGCAGGCTTAACCAGAAAAATCTATGGTAGTCAAACTAGAAGCTAATGGAGATATATGATCATAAAATGCTCTCCGCTGAGTTTGATAATCAATGGTGCTCTACTGAGAATAGAATAACAAAGCAGAAATATTCACAAGTGCTGGTGACACGTAGTATTGTATGATTTATTCACTGGGGTTCTTTTAGCCAAAACTCACAGAAACATAAAAGGAATTCATATTTCAAGACGTCTGGTTTAATGAAAAATTCAAAGAAATGCTGTCTTCAGTCGAAATCGTTCAAGGATATGGGTGCAGTGATGGAGCAAAATTGTGCCTTCCAACCATCTGTACAAAATGTTATGTACTTAGCTGCCTCCTGAGTAATCCTTGGGAATTTTGTTTCATTTAATATTCATTTTAACACCATAAAATCATAAATACAATGATATCATGTTACAGTAAATCCCCTGATATAGGGAAAACTTCCTAAAGTCTTGATTTCCTCTGAATAGAGACATATTTATCTATTAATAGACACATCTCCATGATAGCAGATAATCACATAGCAAGATAGCTTATTTTCAGTGAAAACACTGCTTTAGATAAAATTTCTACATCTGTTCTACCTTTTAATTAAAAATACCAAACTAACATAATTCATGATAGTACAATAAGCAGCAAATGCCATGAAATACATATTTTTCAACACGGAACACAGAATACAACTTCATCTGTTGTGAGTCAATCAAAATTCATAACTAATGTAACTTGTGCCCAGGGAATAGGTGTGATGTTACAGGCAGAAATCAGAGAAAAGTGCCTTAATCTTTTATACAGGGGCTTTCTTTCCTGAGACAAACAGGAATTCATATAAAAGGGTTTCACTGTAATTAGTGTTGTTTGAATTGCCTGGTCTGATCCAAAGCAAATTGTCTGTGGAGAGCAGCAGGGCTGGATTATTTATCAACAGTCTGAGCAATTAAGAAACAGTTGGCGGCAATATGTTATTTACAAATGAACACAATGATGTTACTTCATTTTAAATTCTCTTTCTTTGTTATGGCAAGCGAGGCATAATTCTTGGTGTTCGAGGTGAATTTAAAATATTTTATACTGGGTCCTCCCGGGTGGTGCAATGGGTTAAAGTCCAACACTGCAAGCAAGCTGCAGCCACTTCAGTGTGAGTTCAATCCCCAGCTCCGGAGGTGGTCCCCATTGTGCAGCAGACCTCCCCTGGCCCGCCTGCTGCTCCCCTCAGTAGTGTACTTTGTTAATCTGCCTGTTCTGCTCCCCATTCTGTCTCTGGTGGATACTCTCACCGCCCCTGCACCACTGGCCTGTGCCCCAGCTCTGTATGTATAAATAAATCTTTAAAATAAAATAACTTATACTGTATCCCTTCAAGTCATATGGCGCAGCTTAAACCATTAAATATTTTCATGCATAAAACTCACAAAAAAACAAGTTTGGGTTGCAAAAAAGATACTGTTCCTGATCCTTCTCATACTTCTCCACAATTAGCAGCAGAGTGTGTAAAAGCTGTGGAACCACAGTTCTGAGTTCAGTTCATAACTCACTTTTACTAGCTTGTGTGTCTTTGAGAAAGTTAGGTGGAGTCTCAGTTCCCAGTCTTGATTTCCATTCTTACAGAGTAGGTACATGTTCCCCCAAAGCTGTAGTAAAGACTAAATCTAGATGAAGTTCTGAAGGTTTCAGGACATAGCTGAGGGTCATCATTAAAGGAATTATCAGTACTTCTTGATTGCAATGAATCATTAAATAACACTACCTCACTGTCAATTTCCTACTCCACCATCTGGATGTTACTTTTGAAAGCAAAAACAACAAAAACTGTGAGAAAAATAGTGTGTGATTGCACTCATGACATACCTGGAAGAGTGATATACACAAAAAGAGAAAATAGGACAGTGGTGATGTGTGGAGGGGAGGCTCCCTGTTTAGTGGGCAAGGAAGGGGCTTCATTTTGAGATGATGGGACAGTCTAGAAACAGATAATGGTGATAGCTGCGTAGGATGTGACTGTATTTCTTGTCACTGAACAGTATCAGTAAAGATAGGTGGCTGAAATAATAGATTTTATGTTACCACAAATTTAAAGAGACAAAAAAAGACATTTGTTGATTGTGAATTGTATATTTTCACAAGCTATGAAACACTTTGAAATTTTTTTTCCTAAATCTTTCTATTCTCCTTCTGAGGAATGAAGAAAATTTGTTATTTTAACATTTGTCCTTTTGGTTACATGAATTGCTAAAATATAATTCATACAACAGTCTTTGTCCTTAATATTAATTTCTATCATTCTGTCATAAAAGGTTTTTTTAATCCATTCTATGATATTAGGTAAGCAAAGCATATCCCAAATTAATAATAAATCCAAGAATGACAAGTTACTATATTTTATCACCAGACAAAAGTTTTAAAATTTATCTTTGCTATTTACTATTTCTTACTCTTTTATCTTTAAGATAGCAGGGAAAGACTAAAGACCAGTCGAACATCATTGGTAGTTCATTGTAATGGAAATATGATGGTCAATTACAGATATATCCCAAAATTTAAATAAAGCAAGAGACAGAGGGACAGGAAAGAGAGAGAAGGAAAGACAAACAGGATTGATGTGATGTATTTTCTGAGAGTAGGAAGAATTCCTGGGACATGAAACAGGACCAAACACTGAACTTTGTTAGCTATATGGCCTTTGTCATATCACATAGCTCAATTTTCAAGAGGCTCTTGAAATTGTTTTCTGGATGATTCCTGCCTTTTAAAAACATAATTTTCTGGTGATTATTATACATGTGGGCCTATTGGCAGGACGGCTACTTAGATGGAATGGGAGCATGGTGGTCTTATTGTTTTTGATTGGTGGTGTGCTTTGTGATGTTTACCACCAAGTCTGATAAATGAGTGACTCCATTTGTAGATTGCTCAATGCTTTAAATACCAGTCTCTTCTGTTACAGATATATCTCTGGGGCAGGAGGATGAGTACTGAATGGGTGCTATTTTTTCTTGCCTTCACTTATATGCAGTTGGATTGTAAACTCCTCAGATTATAACTCCTGGAATGCCACGAAACAGACTTCCTTAATGAGGATGGGTAGGGAGAAACAAGATGGATATATAAAGGGAGGTGGAACAAAGGAAAAACATGTGAAGAGGTATGTGGAGGCCACACACGGGTGAGAAACACATCCAGAGGTTTCCGCAGAGACAATGGCAATCATTGTTTTGACCTTATGGTCTATTATGTGTCTCTGCTCTTTGAAACCAGCCTCTTTCTTGTGGTTCCCATCCAGCAGTTACCTTAAACTTATGGCAAGCTGTCTGGTCTCAGCAGCTCTGTCTCAGACATTTACCATAAGAGGATGTTTATCCAGTAGGGTCAAGTACTTTTTGGAGTTTTATTAGGAGTATTTTCCCCTGCCACACACACACACATACACTAATTTCAGTCAAAGTCTTTCACGCTAAGAGTCAATGTTTGTGTATGTGGAGGCTGGGAATCCTTTTAAGAGCATGTACCCCTTAACAATCTGGGGGCCCTGGAGACTCTTCTGGTCACATGCTAACACTTTTTTTTTTTTAAGATTTATTTATTTGTGCATACAGAACTGGGGTACAGGCCAGAGGCTTAGGGGCAGTGAGAGGCTTCACCAGAGACAGAGTGGGGAGCAGAACAGGCAGATCGATGAAGTACACTGCTGAGGGGAGCAGCGGGCAGGTCAGGAGAGGTCTGCCACGCCATGTGATCACCACCGGGGCAGGCAGGAATCCAACTCATGTGGAAGTGGCTTAAGCTTCTCAGTGCTGTGCTTTAACACGCTGCGCCACCAGGGAGGGCCACATGCTAACATTTTTAAGATAAACATCTGAGTGCTTAGTTTCACCAGTGCCTGTGATTGTCTTCTATTTTGCGCTGATGACTTGATTCTTTCATTTTTACCATAACTTTTAGTTAGGTCCCATAGCTTTCAATTAAGTCTTCTTTTCACATGACTGAATTATGCACAGAATTGATACTTGATCCATCTTATATTTAACCTATACTTAACACTTTTTCCCAACTAACTTTGTACAGTATTTTCTTATTATTTCCATTGCTCATAGATCTTCAATTGTTTCCAATTGCTTGAGATGAGGCATCTTTTTATTTTATTTTTTTTAAGACAAGGCATCTTAATTGAGCATCTTAATTGAGCAGGCCGATATAACTAACTACCCATGAGTATATCATATCACAAAGAGAAAGACAGGAAGTTACGTGCTGGCATGTAAATTTTACCCTTTTTATTTCTCTGATAAGATAGTGATGACAGATGGGAACATATTTTTTTTTCTTTCTTTCTTTCAATTAGGTTAATTACAATGGGGCAAAAGTTAAATGGTAACCGCTCTTACAGGCCAATGTAATCTTCAAAGCTCAAGACTTAGGTCCCATTTTCACCTCAAGTATCTCTCAACATTCCTTTCCTTTAAATATCATTTTGATCAACTTTTTATACCATTTTTCTCCTTCATTTACATGCTCAGATTATTCTCTTTGTCTGAAATGCTTTACTCCTTTTTTCTATTGTCCCAAATCCCCATCTCCTTGCTTATTTTGTAAGTATGTATAGGAGACATCATGCCTACCTCACTCAAGTACCACTCCAAACCGATTGTATGTACGTTTTTTTTTTTTTTAAATCAACAACAAAAACCCAAAACTTCTCTATTCTCTTTCAGTGTTGTCATCCTTGCTCCTGCTTCCAGAACCTCCTCTTGCCCTTCTCTCCCTCCATTTTCCCCATCCCTTCATCTGTGCCTTCTGGGAGG